AGCCCATTTTGAACTGGGCTTAAGTAAGTTAATTAAAAAGGGGCAAATTCTGGTTTATAATTTGATTAGGATTAGCTATAGGATAAGATAAGTCTTATCCATTTAAGAGTCCATATCCAAATATCAGATTTGGATCAAGAAACTCTTTCCTAATTGGATTAGGAAGCTGATCCAAAGAAAGCTATAAATAAAGGGCGAATTCACCAGTTTTACACACTCAGCAATCTGTAGAATTCTCCTCTAGTTGTCGCCCCTACCCAGTTCGATTTCCACCTTTGGATTTGATCAAGAATAGTTCTTGATATTGTTTCTTGCTAGAAGAAACAATCTAAAGTCATGCTCACCATTCCCTTGCGTGATTCTTGCTGAAGAACCGCTTTGCTGATCTTGCCTCACCATAAACTGTCATCTTCAGTGGAGGCGAGTTTTGGTCACCTCTTTGGGCGTGAACACCTACGTTGGGAGTTACTGTTATTCCGTATCAGGTATATCCCTACTTGCTTCCTTTTGATTTCAGATCTGGTCCGATTTGTTTCAAGAATGAACATTGAAAATGCAGTTTTCTAAATTAGGGAATAGGATTCCAGGAAGGGAGAAAGTAAATTTTTGAAATTTCGCCCAATCTCCCTACAAGGTTCGTCCATCTATATGATCTCCCTCAACAACAAGGTGAGAGGAGTGTGGAGTATTATGCTGGTTTAAAGATTTTGTGCAATGAGTTGGATTCATATCCACTCCTTTTAATTGATCTCAAGGTGAAACAACAACAAAGAGATTAGTTGGATGTGGCGAGATTTTTTCCAGATTGAGGTTTGAATTTGAGCTAGTGCATGCCCAAAGTAGCAGTGATATACCTGCCTTGTCAGAAGTTTTCTCCAGAGTTAGAAGAGTTACTACCCCACATACAGATAACTCTCTAGTACTAGAAAAGTCTGCCCTAGTTGCAACCAAAGGTGGTAGGGGTGTCTCACATGGTAGAAGTAGCTATCCTAGAGGGGGTAACCATGGAGTGAGAAGGGGTCGTGGTAGTGGCAAAGATAGGAGAATCAGAGATTCTGGTGTTGGTGTTGGTGTTGGTGGTCGGGGCATGGTTAGAGAGTGTAGTTGTTGTGGATGGGAAGGATATATGGTGAATTTCTATTATGCTTTGCGTGGCCCTTCATCTACTTGGGTGAATCATGCTGTTGTAAGAGAAGATGGTTGTGCTACAGGTGATGAGTCTATTTCTTTAGGCACTGGAAAGGAGAAGGAAATGGTCTCTATCACTCGAGAAGAGTATGAAAAGCTTTGTCTATCCTCCCCTTTCCCTGGTAATATTGCAACCCTTGCAAAATTAGGTACAACATGCCTTGTTTCCTCTTCTAAATCATGAATTATTGATTATGGGGCCTCAAGTCACATGATTGGGTCTTTAGACTTGTTTGTATCTTTATCCCCTCCCTCCACCATCTAGTCGGTTACACTTGTTGACGGTACTGCCTTTATTGTTTTTGGTACCGATGATGTGACTCTACATTTTGATTTGACTTTGCCTTTTGTGCTATATGTTCCAAAATTTCCTTTTAGTCTTATGTCTGTTAGTAAGTTAACGGAATCTTTGAACTACTCCATCTCATTTTTCTAGTCTTATTGTGCTTTTCAGGATCTCGAGATGGGAAAGACAATTGGTGGCGGACATGAAGTTGGAGGATTGTACAATCTAGATAGTGGTGGATCATAGAAAGCACTTCATTTCTCCATTACATTGTTATAGTGGCATTGTTGGTTGGGTCATCCATCACTTCCAACTCTCAAGAGTCTTATTCCAAATGTCGTGTTTGTTCGTGAGTTACAGTGTGAAGTTTGTCAATTTAGTAAATATCATCGTGTTTCTTTTGCTCAAAGGGAATGCAATAGAGTCTCGAGCCTATTCAGATGTTTGGGATCACTGTCCAGTTGAGTCATAATGGTTTTAAGTATTTTGTTTACTTTATTGATGATTTTTCAAGAATGATTTGGATTTATTTAATGAAATCTCGTACAAAAGTGTTTGATATATTTCTCTCTTTTTATGCTGAAATCAAGAATTAATTTGGTATTTCCATTAACTTTTTTTTTTTTTTCGTTTTAACAATGCAAAAGAATATTTCCAACACCTGTTTTGTACTTTCTTTGATACTCATGGAAGTTCTTTTGATGAATAAGTCTCATGGCATTATACATCAATCTTCTTGTTCTTCTACTCCATAACAAAATGGAGTGGCTGAGCGGAAGAATAGACAATTAGTTGATATTGCTCAAGCACTTTTTGATTCAAATGTTAGTTCCAAGAAATATTGGAGTGGTGCTGTTCTTACCTCGTGTTTCTTCATTAATCGTATGCCCTCATCAGTTTTACATGGAGACTCCCCTTTCTCTATTGTCTTTCCTTATTAGTCTCCTTTCCCTTTCTCCATGCGTCTTTGATTGTGTTTGTTTCGTTCATCACCAGGGTCCAGGTTTGGATAAATTGGACTCTCTTGCTCTTAAATGTGTCCTTAGGGTACTCTCGAACCCAGAAAGGGTATAAGTGTTATAGTCCTTCTCTTCGTCGTTCCTTTGTTCTTTTGGATTTTTCCTTATTTGAGAATGTTCCTTTTTTTTCGTCAGCTGAGTCCACCTGTTATGGTAACTTACACCCTCCTCTCCATTTTCTTGTGGAAGAGGTACTTGTGTTAGCTCCTATTGTTCAGGAGCCCATGCGACCACCAATTCATAGAGTGTATACTCACGGTCCTCGTGGTGTAGTGTTTCAGTGTACTCCAGCTTTGCTATAGCCATCACCGCCTCCCTCGTCGATTGATCATTCTCACTTAGACCTGTCCATTGCTCTTTGCAAAGGTAAGCATGCATGTATTGAACATCCTATCTCTTGTTAAGTTTCCTTCACACTTTTATCTCCATCATATCAGAATTTTGTGTTTCTTCTTTCATCTGTATTTGTTTCCAGCTCCCTTCATGATGCCCTCCTTTCTTCGGAGTGGAAGAGGGCGATGGGTGATGAATTTCATGCTCTTTAATCTAATCACACTTGACCATACTTCTTTTCCTCTTGGGAAGAAAGCAATCGGATGCCGATGGGTTTATACGGTTAAGCACTGTCCAAATGCTAATGTGGAAATGTATAAAGCATGTTTGGTAGCCAAAGGGTATACACAAACCTTTGGAGTTGATTATACTAATACCTTCTCACCCATAGCTAAAATGAGTTCCACCCATGTGCTTATTTCCCTGGTTGCATACTTTGGTTGGGTGTTGTTTTAGTTGGATATCAAGAATGCTTTTCTCCACAGTGACCTCAAAGAGGAAGTGTATATGGAGCAACCTCTAGGGTATGTTGCTTAGGGGGAGGTAGCAAAGGTGTGACGGTTAAAGAAAGCAATCTATGGGCTAAATCAATCTTCGAGGGCCTGGTATAGGAGATTTAGTAGTGTGGTACAATAGTTTGGGATGGCACAATGTAGGGTTGATCACCCGGTGTTTAGTAGAGATTACCTTTGGGAAGATTGTGCTAGCAATCTATGCTGATGACATTATTATTACAAGGAGTGATGAACATGGTATTGAAGAACTCAAACAATTCCTACAAAATCAGTTGTAGACTAAGGACTTGGGGCACTTAAAATATTTTCTGGGTATAGAAGTAGCAAGGTCAAAGTGGGGAATTTCTCTCTCATAAAGAAGTATGTGCTTGACTTGTTGGAAGAGACCAGTTTATTAGGGGCAAAACCAGTGAATACTCTCCTATAGACCCAGATGTGAAGATGTTTGATGGTGAGGGGGAGCCCTTTGATGATCCTAGACAATATAGGACATTAGTGGGGAATCTTATATATTTAACCATTACAAGGCTAGGCATTTTTTTCAGTGTTGGACCATTGAGCCGGTTTATGCAGAACCCAAGGTCAATTCATTGGGAAGGTATTGCTAGAGTACTACAATACTTGAAGGGTGCTCCAGGTCAAAGGTTGTTGTATAAGAAAGGGAGAGAACTTTCCTTGCAGGGATATCCAGGTGCTAATTGGGTAGGATCGGTTACAAACAAGAAATCAATAAATGGTTATTGCACATTCTTGGCTGGGAATTTGGTTACTTGGAAGAGTAAGAAGCAAAAGTGTGGTGGCTAGGAGTAGTGTTGAGGCTGAGTACAAAGCCATGGCTCACACTATGTGTGAGTTGGTGTGGCTAAAAGAGTTGTTACAAGAAATGGGAATGTCAGTCACAACTCCCATTAAGTTGTTTTGTGACAACCAAGCAGCCATCCATATTTCCTCCAATCCTGCATATCATGAGAGGACCAAACACATAGAGGTGGATTGCCACTTTGTAAGAGAGAAGGTGTTTAGCGGAGAAATCATTACCCCATATGTGAAGTCTGAAGATCAACTAGTCGGCTTCTTCACCAAGGGCCTAAATGGTGCACAAATGAAGTAAATTTCTAACAAGTTGGAGCTTTATAATATATATGCTCCAACTTGAGGGGGAGTGTTAAGTTATAGTGTTTGTGCAGGGCCTTTTTAGTCTTTTCCTTTATTTTTGGTTCTTATTGTTTCTGTTCTTAAGTTACATAAACAGGGGTAATTATGTAATTTTGTTCTTATGAATACAAGTTATAAGGAGGCGGCAGTTGGGTCACTCAATACCGACCGACTTTAGCCCTATTATTTTCTCATTCTTCTCTACGTTTTGTTCTCTCAACCATATTTCTGTACCCTGGTTTATACCAGGATTTTTGCTTGTTTAATCTAAGATTACAGGTTTAATCACAAAGAGAATTGAAATCTTACAGGAGTTCATCCATGGACATGGGAACAAATTGCCAAATCACATTATTATTATTGTTATTGTTATTATTATTATTATTCGCATTCTTCTCTGTGTGTTTTTTCTTTTTTGTCATCTTTACTTGGATCCTGGCATAACAATGCTTGAGCATTTTAGGAGAATGATATTAAAGAATGAAATACCATTTACTAGTGCAGGGCAAGGAAGGAGAACCTTGAACGTGCTATTGAGCATGAGGCATCTGGCAATTCTGCTGCTGCTTATGAGTGCTACCAGAAGTCTGTGGACATTTCACCTTCAGTTGCATATGAACTAATCCAAGTAGGTGAAGTTTTTGTCTTCGTAATGTCATGGAAAATTAGGCACCGTTTGACATTGATTCTACTTGTTTTTGTTCTTAAGAAAATTCCTGTTTCAAAACATTTATTTTGTTTTTTATTTTTTATTCCTGAGAAACAATGAATGTGTTTGGCAAACTATTCCTGAGAAATCTCATCCATAGTTGGCAAAAATTTGCAAAACTTAAAAAATATGTTCAACTAATAAAAAATAAAGAAAAGGGATTAGTTTAAACAACATCAAGCAATATTTGAAGACAACTGCCATAGCCAAGAATGAACACCAACTCAAATTACAATTGCTTTCCTCATCACTGAATGCATTCAGATTCATTGAAGAATGAATACCAACCATTTGAAAGAAATGAAAAAAAAATCCTAAAATGAACATCAACCATTTGAAAGAATATAATATTTGGTCTCCTCATGCGTTACAGGATGCAACATAGAACATGACATGAAAGAATTCTTAAATGAAAAAAAAAAACAGAGCCATTGAAAAGAAAAATGAACAAAGATTGAGAAGGGTATACCTTCTTTTCCCTGCAGGCAATGATCTCACAGACCCCTAGCAATAATTTCTGTTTGTTGAAGGTGGAGATGATTGTCAGAAGCTGGAGTCAATTGTTAGAAGCTGAAGACTGAGGTTATGAGTTGTGGAGGCAAACAGACAATTTTTGATGCAGTGAACTGATGAGAATGACGATAGGGTTTTCAGTTTTGTGCCTATCTTCTAATTTTTGGCCAAAGTTACCTTATTATCCTTCCTTATACGTGTGAATTCCACACGTATACGCTTTTTTAACTTTCTGTCAAAACACACGTGTTCCTGAGGAATAGTTCTAGAGAAATATTGATTTTCGTCATTTTCTAGGAATGCGTTTATGGAGGGGTATTCTCAACTGAAAACAGAATGTTTCTCGTTGTTCCTCCTGTCCAAATGTGTTTCTGTTCTGTGGGAACATCAGGAACACCAGAAATGTTCCCGTGGAATGATGCCAAATGAGGCCTTAATTTCTGAAGGAATGATGTCTTCTTGCTAGATGTTATCTTCAGAATATCCTTGTTTCTTCAAATGAATTTCTATATCTTCTTAGTGATTTAAAGGGGGTTTTCTCTCATATGGTACATAATACCTTATTTTGCTGGCTTAATTACACTGGAAGGTTCTAAAGAAGGAGAAAATTGATTATGTTGTGGCTCCATATGAGGCTGATGCTCAGATGACCTTTTTGGCCCTCAGCAAACTTGTTGATGCAGTGATTACTGAGGACTCAGACTTGATACCATTTGGATGTCCTAGAGTGAGTTATCTTTTAATCAGATTTCGAAATTACCTTCTTTAAGTTAGGCTTACTTAAGTTTGAGTAGTAGAGTTGTCATCCTCTTGCTGCATTGATGTTTTATTTTGATCCTGACTTTGTGCCCTTGGATGCTGTTATTTGTTCTTAAAACAGATTTTCTTCAAAATGGACAAATTTGGGCAAGGCGTTGAGTTTCAATATTCCATGATAGAGCATAATAAAGAGATGAGTTTTACTGGATTCACTAAGCAGATGGTTCTTGAGATGTGTATATTAAGTGGTTGTGACTATCTGCAGTCGTTGCCAGGAATGGGCCTGAAAAAGGCTCATGCACTTATAAGGAAATTCAAAAGCTATCAAAGGGTTAGAATAATTGTTATTGAATTTCATGCTGATCTCATAATGAGGAAACTGATGCTTTACTTGTTTAAAATGATTTGAGTTAAGCTGCACATACATATGCAATTACATTGCAAAACCCATAATTTTTTCCTTATGTTTTTCTGCTAGCATATATTTACATCCTTGTTAATAAATTTTGATAAGGTTTGGTTATTCTAAACATTAGTTCTTTCTTCTAGGTGATTAAGCACTTGCAGTACAGTACTGTTTCAGTTCCTCCTCTTTATGAAGAATTATTCAAGAAGGCAATTTGGACTTTTCAACACCAACGAGTTTATGATCCTAGGGTTGAAAATATTGTGCATCTAACAGGCATTAGTGATAACCTTGGTGATGATTTGGACTTTCTAGGCCCATATCCTTAACACAATACATGCCCTGTTTCTAATATTTTGTACAAATAAATTCCTCACTCTAACTTTACTGAAAATTCTTAAGTATATTTACTGAAAATTCTTAAGTTTGTACCTTAACCAGTGTTACATTAATACCACAAAACTTGGCTAAAGGCATTGCTGTTGGAGATCTTGATCCATTTACAAAAATGCCATTCCAGGTATGCTTTTCCTTTTTCCTTTTTATAATTATATTTCCTTATAATGATAAAAATATGCTTCCTTACTAGTTTTTGTTTGCCATTTGTGGTACTTTATAGTGCATTTCTTATGTTTCAACCTTCTTATCTTCCATTTTCCCCACCTCCCCTGCTGTAGGCACACAGTGGAAAATTGTGCAATCACTCATCTCTAGGATTGGAGTGGTTTGCACATCATTGGCTCTATATTCACCAAAAGACTCTTACTTGACAAAATCTTAATAGATCACAAACTGGAAATTTCTTAGGGTGAAATATGAACATCCACTTTATATAGTTAGATCTTGTCATAATGTTCCACCTATTCCTTCAGAACTTTCAATGTAAGACAGTAATAGTTCTCTAGCCACATAACAATAGTAGTTGTTACTTTTCAAATGCTCTTTGTAATTTTTGGCCTTTGAGTTACCTAATAGTCCTTGTTGCAGGTTATATGCATGTTTATAGTTTCCCTTGGGGACAAATAACTTTCCCTAATGATCTTAGTATCTTACAGAGATGCTTAAGAGTTGAACTGTCACAGATATGGAAACATTTTTTGTTAAATATTTGTACCTTTGTTTAAATTCTAATAGTTTTAACCATAAGAAATGTCAGTTTATATTAGAAAATGGATGCGAGTTATCTCTGAGTATCACTTGCAGCATGTCATATTAGTTAAAAGTAGTCAGGCAATTTGGGTTTTTCTTTTCTTATTGTCATTCTTGAAAGTGTATCATGTTATGTGGCTTTTTTCCTCCATGGTCCAATTTTAGTTACATGATTCAAATTTTGATGTGTAACAACTTGTTAACTCTGGCTGTGTTCCCTACTATTCTTGTGATCCTAAGCATGCATGTAGGTTCTGTTTACAACCATGTTTGTCACTACTCGTTAGACTTAATCTTGCCAAGTATTCTCTATGTGGTTTTAAATTTACTTTGAGGTCTCCAAATTCCACGTTTTGGTCTCATCTCTATCCAGGGTTCTAAGATTTTGTTACTGTAACTTTGAAAATCTGAAAAAACCAAAATTAATATTTTACATCTGAATATAGCTAGTATGTACAGTTGCAAGTTGCAATTCATTTAGCTTCAAGAAGTTGGTTCAATGAATCCAGGTGTAGTTTATTTTTGGTTGTTAACCCTTATTCCCTCCATTATCTTTTGGCTTACAGGGAGTTGCTGTCTGTGCTGAGCTTGTAGTTGATAGATCTTACCCACTCAAAGAATTTAAACCTGAAAGTGAAAGGAAAAAGCTTGACTTGCCTGCTCAGAAAAATGTATTAACAAACTACTTCTGTATCCATTGTTGGAAAATTTTCTTGATGATATTGTTGATGATGATGAACGTATACATGTTGACATATATTATATTTGTTTCTTATTTGTATATTCATCTTTATATGTTTAATGTATTTATTAGAATTTGTTTTTAACATATTTATGTTCCACTTGATAATAAAGTTTCCCTTGTGTCAACCTTCATGGTTCTAGTTATTTTTGGGTGGGTGTATTCTCTTAATTTTTTCTTAACACTTGAAGGCTTTGCTTCACTCGAGGCAAAGAGGAAATTTAAAGCTCCTCGAGTTACACCTAAACATTTAGATTCAATTGAAGAAAACTCTCCAAGCTCTGGAGAACAAGCTTCTCAGAAGCCTGCTTCTTGTACAATAAGCTGCTCAAAAGTGTCTGCACTTCATTCAGGAAACACTATAAATGCTTTGCTTTCCAAGGATCCTGTAAGTGACATAATATGGAATGTTAATTTTAGTTAACTCTCTTTTTATATATTAAGATTTTGATGGCTTGTTTCTTTTTTATTTTAACTATTGCCTTTAAAAATGGAATCTTTCTTTCATGTCAGTTGGAAAATGGTTTTGCCCTTAATGGTCATCAACTTTTGGAGTTCCCAACTGGTAAATATCTAAGTTTTCCACCAAGTCAATCTAGAAAATCAAATTATGGAAAGTACTGATTCCCTTTCTGAATGTGATTGATTCAGATGTGGTAGGTAATTTGAGAAATTCAGACCATTCTGTGTCCTTGCACCAGTCCAGACAATCGGTACACAAGCCATGTTTACTATCACATAAGGAGGGTGGAAATGAGTCCATGCTCAATACGGTTGATGGGCATGCAGGATTGGTGAGCAGAAAAGCCATTGTTAGGAGTTCTTATTTTAAGAATAAGTTAAAAAATGAGGATGATCTTGATAATAAAAATAAAAAGCTTCTGGTTGAGAATGACTCTCCTGCTGGTGTTAATTGTGACAATACTGTACCTGTACCTGAAAATTCTGCCTCTTGGTGTAATGACCTCAAAAGTGGTGCTGCAAAAAGGAAGTTCATCCCTATTGAAAGTACAACTGTATGTGCTTTTTCTTCAATGTTTATTGCCTTCATATTGTTCTCTCTCTCTCTCTCTCTCCCTCTCTCTCTCTCTCTCAATTTTTTGGGTCATTTCAGGAAACTGCAAAGGTGAAGTATGCCCGGTCAAATGCAATTCTTCCCAGTAAAAGTATGTATCAATTGTTTGGTAACTTTATACCTCTCACCCCAAATATGTTATTTGTATTCTTGTATTCCTTATGTGATTGATTATGTTTTGTCCCCCCTTTCAATTCCCAGTATTTTAGGAAAGTCTTTTTTTATTGTTGATCAAAACAAAAGGGTGGAGTATATTAATTAAAAAGATGATTTGGGATTTTGGGTATTCAAGGGATTATTAAATGTTGGTAAAATTATAGTTAATGTTAATGTAATCTGTGAGTTTTGTCCCTCTTGGCTATTGTCCCTCTTAATTGATGTCAAGTTAATCTACCTCTAATTTATCAAGGATGAAGTTTGGTTGGATTCATTATCTTGACTTCTTTTTTCTTTCTTCTTTTGCACTGTCCTTTATGTTAACTTCAAACTGTAGCTTTGTTAGACCTGATATTAAAACAAATGCAGTTGATGTAATTGTTTTTCTCTTCCTCCAGGTAATTGCATTCCTGATTTTGACAGGAATATTGAAGAAAGAAAATTTGGATGCAACATTTCCCATTTGAGCCATTATTCTGATATAGCAGAGAAATCAATGCAAAGATTTGTTTCAATAATGTCATCATTCAGATGCAATTCATCTGGTTCCCGTGCAAGTGGTCTTCGTGCCCCTCTGAAGGATGTGCAGAACACATGTACAATAAGGTAGTACAGATTAACACAATGCAATATTCTTTTCCTTGGTACTGTGGAATTATTACATAATAACATTTGATGGTTCTGTTAATTGAAGGTCATCCACTGTGCCTATGGATCTGAGCAAATTCTCCTACATACCAAATAAAAAGAGGACTGCCTCGGCATGTCAAAGAGATTAGTTTTGAAACATTATTTAAGAACGTTGTTCAATGCTGGGTACTATCCTAAATTCCTAACCCATTTTGGTCGCAGCTGCTTGTCATCTCACCTTTATTTTGGTATAAGTGGCACAATTTACTTGTGCCATTTCATTGTAATTTTTTAAAGGCTAAGGAACTAAAAGATATTTGATGAATCAGGGTTCAATACGTCCATCTGTATACATGTATGTCCATATCATTGTTTCTCTTGTCTTCATTGATGTCTGCTCTCTTTCTGTCAGAAGAAGCTTCAAAAGTTTATTATTTTTCTTTTTTTTTTCCTTATTATTTCTTAACATGATCTTACATGATTGATCAATCCTGCAGTCTCTGATTTAGAGAAGTTCTGCTCGGTTAATATTTATTGGGTTGTATGATCATCCTAGTTCACTAATTTGAGAGGTTTTATTAGATTACCATCCATAGGTCTGTATATTTCTAGTTCAGAATTTGTTCCTTGCTTATGGATCCAAGTTCACAGTATATTTCTAGTTTGGGAAGATTATTTTGCCTGAGGCTTTAGGTGGTGAAAACTACTTCAATACCATCTTTTCTTAAGTTTTCCCGCAATTAATGACATTGCTAAAAACAATATGTTTATCCCATGATACAAGTATTTGAAATGCACCTTTGAGATCATTTACATTTTGCCTCAGTCGAATTGACAAATTCCATTGTTTGTGGTTATCATATAAAAATATTACTCAAATTCTAAGAAATTCAATGGAGGAAAGGTGTGTTTTAATCTTGGGGCAATCTATGATGCTTGAAAGACATGGTACCGGAAAAGCTTTGACCAATCAAAACCCACCTGTGAATTTTGATAAATACCACTTGATTGGTTACCACGTTTATGATACAGGATGATTGGTCACAAGTTTTTTGGATATCATGTCTTTCTGGTATCTTAGTCAAACCCTACCCTTTAATCTTTTATTTTGTTGCCTTTTCTTATGAACCAGCCAATCTCAGATTCTCAATTTCTAAACTTTTCCATTCCCCTGTTGTGTTTGGGTGTTAATGACACCTAACCCTTGCATAGATGCATTAGGTTATGGATGTTGGCCTGATCATATAGGTGCTCGAAACTACAGAGGATAACGATTTGCACTGAATTAATCTAGTAACAATACTGTCGGGAAAAAAAATCCAGTACCTGTTAGACTGAAATGGTCTGAGACAGCTTTTACAGTATAGAGGTTTATATATATACAAGCATCTGATTTCATTTCATTTCATTTACATGGCTGCTTTGGAGCAATTTTGATGGGCATTCCCTGGCTAGGGAAGGGGAGGGGGTCTGCGGTAATGGTTTCATCTTTGTGCAGTAGGGACCAGTCATAATGAGTCACCATAAAATGCAAGAATAGGAGTATGTTTAGCTTGGCCAATTGGTAGCCTGCACAGAGCCTAGGCCCTCCTCCAAATGGAACAAAAGCATAGGGTGGAATAGGTTCCTCGAACCTACTTGGATTAAAATGCAGAGGCTCTGGAAAGCATTGCGAATCATAATGGGTTCCATATGCTGTCCATAGCACCTGTGCGGAGTTGCACCAACAAAAAAAATGAATGCATGTATTAGTGAGCTCAAATTGACATCACTGAAATGAAAATTTGTATTGGAAAACCAATTTTAGTGAGTTTGAGGCTGAGCTGAGCACCTTCCATCCTTTGGGAATGGTAAATCCTTCGTATTCAATGTCAACAATGGCTTTTCTAAAGGAGCCAAAGATGGGAGGGAACATCCGCATGCTTTCACGAGCCACTTGCCATGTGTACTTCATCTTCTTGGTGTCTTCCAATGTTAGATTTTCACCTGGTCTTTTACTACCTGCTATTTCTACATGCTCTGCAGGAGAAATGAAATTCAAGTAATCTTCTGTCATCTTTTGAACATTTATTTGAATGGAAAGTAAACCTGCTTAAGTTGGAAATAAAAATTGAAAAAAAGGAGAGCTCAGATGTTAAATTGAGTTTTTTAATTAGTTGAAACACTGGGTCTGACAAGTGTGAAAACATGGGTTCAATTCAAGTCTCAGAGAGGACGTGTAGTGCAAAAATACCTGTAAATTAGGTCCATATCCAATTCACCACATTGGGTAATGACCTTTTAGACTGCTGGAAACACATTAAAACTAATAATTTAGGGGGTGTTCTGTACTGTGGTAGCCACAGTTTTGTGTTTCATTTGATTATGAAACATATTCCTGGTTAGGGAACCAGCAATTTATGGTTTGTGAAGGAAAATCTCTCAGAAAATTGAACAGGCTTCCATCTCATCTCTAACCACATCATAGTGAGGACCACTGTTCACCAACATGCCACGCCCATAACACATTGCAACCATGATAGCGCTCAACACCTGGGCGGTTTTGGTAATGATAATGCATTGTGTATCAATTCAATGCCGGTGGTGAGCTTAGGAAAGAATAAAACGATTCACATTTAGATGGAGGGAATTCTTGGAATACCCAGGAAAGCACCAAAAGGTGCTGCCACCTCCTGCTAAAAGCTAGCAGATGCTGCACTAAAGATTAAAAAAAAGCTGCTAGAAGATAGAACATTGACATAAATCAATGTCAGCAATCAGTAAACAGAGATACCTTCTATTCTGGATTTAAATGTAATCTATTGCTATATTATCAAACCAAGGGAGTAGCTCATTTTAATGGAAATCCAACATTGAAGTGGCCCATGTTATCCCACATATAGAACTCAGACTTATATCCAGGGTCCCGGGAGGTGTGGACTGGTCTGGACATGAATCTAATCCGATGCTTCTTTAGGGAGAATAATAATACCCATATTGTTGCTGGTAGTGCAGTAGTTCTTCATTCATTGCAGTATTGCTTCTAATTTGCAAAGAAACACTTCCATGTATACGAGGTTCGGTTAACCTAACGAACCACTACCGACCCAACTCTAATAAACAGGGCCTGGGCCAGGTCTGAATTTTGAATCCCCCATTTTTTTCTAATACCATACCAGGCTAAAGTCTTTGGTGTGTGTTAAATTCGGGGCTAGATCTATCTGAACGGGCCCAGACCCAATCCATTGACAGAGCAACATTTTGTTTTTGACTGTTCATACAGCCTAATCTCTACAAATACCTTGTATAGGCAGGAAATATGGTAGCTAGGAGAAAGCAACTGCATAGCTGTGGCCTGGGTACTAGTTTAGCAACATAAAGAGAAGACAGTTGAGGAGATGTATGTGCACCTTCAACAAGTCGAGAATGGCAGTTTGGGTGGAGAGCCAACATCCTACATATCATGGCAATGGCGAAAGAAGTTGTGTCATGAGCTGCAAACACCAGCAAAACCACATTATCCACCACTTCTTTCTCACTCATCTCTCCTTTCATCAACCCCAGCACCAGACCAGACAACAACCGCCTTTCCTCCTCTCTTCTCACCTTCTGTTCCATCTCTTCCCTCTTCCTCCTAACAACACCCACCAGCTTCTTCTCTATCTCCAACCTCGCCTTCTTTGCTCGCCAAAACCGGCAGCCTGGTAAGTTAACGGGCGCTGCGAAGGCTCCTTCCACAACTCCCTCGAACATCTCCAGCATGCCCGGCTCCACATCAATCCCCAGCAAGCACTCGAGCACGATGGAGAACGATAGCTTCTTCACAGATGGGTAGAGGCTTACTGTGTCTCGCCCATGCCAATCCTTGCTCAGGTGTTTGTCAATGGAGCTGCATATCTTGGGCACTAGAGCCTCGAGCCCGGTGCAACTGAGGCTGCTGGCTATCGCGCCACGGATGCATCTGTGCCGCTCCCCTTGCTTCTGCATTATGCAGTCTGTTCCCATGAGCTGCACCGAGGAAGATGGCCATGAGCTCACCACCAGCTTGAATTCGTTTGAGAGGAAGAACTTATTAGCCTCGGCTCCGCTCACCAGCACTGTTGGCGATCCCATTAGCCTTGTTTTGAATATGTTTCCATGTTTTGTCATCCGGGGTTGAATAAAATCCTCGAGTAATCTGTTACTACGCTGTGCTTTGTGGAACTCCAGCGTCTCACCAATCCAAGGAAGACCCATCTCTCCTGGGGGTAGTTTCTTGTTGCTGCTTCTGTTAATACTGTTCTTCTTTTTGGAGGTAGACATGAGAAAGATGAGAGTGACCAGTATGGCCAACACAGAGAGCACCAAGGAAGGAACAGAATCCATCTCCAGAGCCATGGAGGAAGGAGAAATGGGAGGACTGGAGACACACAGTTTTTGAGGTTTATAGGTATCTTTAGTTCTTTACCATTGACAATTTGTTCAAAGATGAATGGGGTTATAATACTCGGGTCGGGTCGAGTAAGTCTAGGACGAGGTTTGAACTTTGAACTTGGGATTCAATATGGCGTTGGAGATGGGAAAGGATCCGACGGGAAGCCTGAGCGAAGCGGGTTAAGAATTGCCAATGCCCAATGGCACATTTATACATCATTTGAGGAAACATGGTTTCACTTGGAGGAGGCTGTTGCCCCTTTGAAGGATTTAAAAGTCAACCACATTGGATTTGCACAATCATCAGATCCATTTATTAAATGGTAAACTAGACAAAGTCCACAGATTGGATGGTTGGGATCCTCTCATAAGCTGGATCATTCCTAGGTGGGACCCATGAACATGTGTGTGATCTCTCCTCGTATCATGCTCAATGAACAGTCACTCCTATAATTTATTTGAATAATTCTGCTTGAGAATTATATATTCACCACGCTTCCCATGATTCAATGAAATTATTTATTTTTAATTACAAAAGAGAGGAAAATAGATATCCTGTACTCCATGGTGTGTCTTTGATAATCTAGCTTTTCACTTTGGTTGCAAGTCAAGTGAAGAAAGTGGAGACCATCTCCCTACATAACCCATTAATTAGGTAACATACTAAGATCAGAAATGATCCACTTAGTTGTTATCTTACCTGTCAATGGATTGGGTACACCTGTCACCTGAGAACCGAATAGAATCGACCCAATTATTCTTGAATTTGTTCTCGGTTTTCGTATCATGCCCTAACTATAAATGGGTTGTATGTATTCGGGTGGTTGTTAAGCTGGCTAGGGCGCCACGTGGATGACTTCGTAGTCGCTCTGTCAGGGCCACGCATCGTCACTTAAAACCGCGTGAAGGACGGGCATGGTTAGGAAGGAGTGTCCATATGGACATTGAAGCGGATTCCGCTGGGGGGAAAGGGAAACCTCCGAAGACTTCTACGGACAATCTCATCTCGACAATCTTACAAGTTCTATCCGGCCTGAACACGGACATCTAATTATAAATAAGTATGCCACATTCAAGGTAAGCGATTTTGGGAATTCTGCATTCTTTGAATACCTCTTTTCATTGTCTTTTTGGCTCGGACTAGTACTGTCTCAACTTGCTCGTCCTGACCACATCCCTCTCTATCCTATTGTCGAGCACATCCCTCTCTATCTTATTGTCTTGAGCGTCAGAGTGCCTATTTGGGGAACAACTTCTTAGGTCTCTGACCCTTCTCCTAGTTGCAGATCTCGGTGCGCAATTTCGTCTAGTTGGCAGGATTATTTGATCGTGTCCTCGATTTGGAACACCTCGGATTGGATAACATCAAATTGGCGCCGTTTGTGTGAAACATATAAAAAGTCATTTCCCAAACCCCTTTATGTGCACTAAAAGCAACCATGCCTAAGAACACATCTGACTGCTCTGGAGCCCGTTCTCCATCTCGAGGATCCAACACACTTCGCAGCTTCCAGCCTCAGGAGCCCCAACATTAGACAACAGTCGACCCTGCGCAATTCCAAGCCATGCAACAAAAAGTCGACCGTATCCTAGTCATGATGGAGATGCTGGGGCAACCGGTACACACGACGCCCGCACTAGATCCCATCACTCTGCTGCTTGGGTACCAGTGAAAGAATGACTCGACTAATGTCTGCAACAACCGCTGATCTCGATAGTCAAATCCGGCTCAATCTAAGACTAAACTGCGATCCCCAAAGGGGAAAGGTCTGCAAACGTAGTCCCAGTCAATAGAGACATTGAAATCAGAGAACTAAGAGAGCGGATGGCCGAATTAGAGTGCCCACAAAGGAACCCGTCTTCGTCCAGGAGATCGTTGACGATCTTCCCCCAACCAGTTGGCAACTCCCTCGATTTGAGAAGTATGATGGAGCTTCGGACCCCAATGATCACATTGAGGGGTTCAAGGCGATAATGATGCTGCATAGCTCCTTCGAGGGTCTCATATGCAAGGCCTTCATCGCCACCTCCACAGAGTCACCAAAACCTAGTATGCCTCCCTTCCACCGCGGTCCATATCCTATTGGGTTCATCAATATCCTCCCTTTGTGGGTTCATATCCTCCCTTCCATCGCAGTCCATATCCTCCCTTTGTGGGTTCATCAATATCAAAGTGCATAAATCCAGAGAAGAGTCGTACCGCACCAATGAGTCCCTAGCCTAAGCTCCCCCGATCGAGGTCGTCGCCATCATCTCGAGTGAGGCGGCCCTTAAAGGAGAAAACTAGGCACAGAAGACCTACTTTGAAGAGTTCGAGCGTTGGGACTAAGATGTACTAAAGACGATTGGTATCAAGCACTAACAACAACTGAACTGTACAAACTCAGCAAATAAAGAATTTTCTTCAAGCACAAATGACCAAACACCTGCATATAGTAAGACCGAACTCCGTGCTAACCAATGGACGCAGCGCGACAGCAACCTCTTCAAAGACCCGATCAACCTATAACAGCTGAGGCCCATCAACCATCACACGAAAGACCTGACCGAACAGACGGTCGAGGCCAGACCAAGCCCTCAACAAGCATTGCAGGAATAATGTTCCCACCACAATGGAAAGAGGATGACCATTAAACTCCGTGCACCCTCCCGACTCATAGTCGGAGTAGAGCTAACCAAGGACCATAGCCCAGTCAAAGAGCATAATGCTCTCCATGACCAGGTGCTACCAAGCTCCTTGACAACGTTGAGAGCTCGGAAGCACCTCGGCCAACATCAGACTAAGGCCATGAAACCGAAGACCTTGGCCAACATGAGACTAAGACAACAAAGTTGAAGACCCCGGCCATCTAGTGTCAAGCCCAAGACCTCGTCCAACATGAAACCGAGACCACGAAGCCAAGAACCTCGACAAGCCCAAGACCTCAGCCAACACAAGATCGATGCCATAATGCCGAAGACCCCAGCCACAATGTCAAATCCGAGACTCCGACTAGCCTAAGAACAAGTATAGGAGCATGGCTTATGAACCCTACTGACCAACCTAATTCCGAAGCGGAGCAACTCAAAAAAAGAAGAGAGAAGCAATACCGGGCTAAATACAAAGACCCTAAAATACAAAAAAATAGGGAGGGGGGGAAGAGACAGCACATCGATATCCTGTTGGGGTCCTTGGCATGCTCCTAGGTGTCGGTGATGACAACACCATCACGAGCAGGCTCTTCGGTATTGAACGAGTTGAACCCCTAAACGACGCCGGCTACCTCTAGGCACTGATGCATCACCTGCCATTGACAGAGAGCGAATCCCTCCTGCCAAGAGTCGGTAGCGTAGTCGTCCAACTCGTTTTGATGAGCCTCCAAAGCTCTATACTTGGTGACACCCTCCTCCTTTGCCTGAAATATCTTCGCCTTGGCCTCCTCGAGCCTCTTCTTCAGCACCTCCCATGCTTCTTTGAGATTATGGACGCTGCCATTTAGCTTGCAGACAGTCTCATCCCTCTCCTCGATGTTGCACTTCAACTCGGCTAACTCCACCTTTAGCTTGGTGTTCTTGATCTCTCGCGATTCACAAAATTGGCGTAGCCCACGGAGGCAGTTGACAAGGACAAAGACCGAACAAACCAACTGCAAGGCATTGAATAGTTAGTACAGAAGAAAAGAAGAGAGACAAGGAAGAACAAGTAGAACTGAACTTACTGCCATGACCTGATGGAGAGTCGTGCTCTCCAAGAAATTGCTAGATTCCTTCCTAATATCGAGGAGCATCACACCTCAAGCAAACTGCTCGACCACCCCCTCCGTCTCAAGTGTATCCTCCAGCCGAACCAACCATTGTGGCACGTGCACACCGGTCGAGCCCTCAATCGAAGTATATTCCAGAGCATCCCCCCATGACTTCCTCTGTCGACCTCGGCCTTTTTGCCTTCTGAGGCGTTCACTCTACCGAATAGCGTTGGAGCTCCGCAGCCCCGAGCTAGGTGCTTGAGGTCCTAGTCACTTGTGCCTTCCTAGTGGTCGTGGCTTGCTTACATGGAGCTCTCTCCTTAGCATCAACCATGTCCAAATTTGCACAAATCACCACAAAATTAGAGCCAAGTAAAGACAAACTCATAAAAAAAAAAGAAATCGTGCAGTCCATGGATCAGACTAGGATTGTTCGGCCGAAGGGCACATCAGCCAACCAATGTCAACAATCGGGATGATGTGTACTCCTCGATGTGCACCCGCACTATCCTCCTCATAGTAGCTATCTCCTCCTTCAATAGTTTGGCTTGGGAAGGACCCTTATCCTTGGTCCTCGAAATGGACAAGGTGAGGGAGAACGACCAACCTCCTTGGCACTTCACAAAGAAGAAGCCATTTTTCTAGTGCTTAATGGAACAAGGAGCCCCGACGAGCATCTTGGTGTTCAGCCTAGTTGGAAAGTAGTAATACCCCTACTTGTGCTTCTTCAGGTGGAGGAAGTACCTAAACATCAGTAGGGTAATCTCAATATCCTTGAGAGTGCAGTAGCAGAGTAGCCCGACCACTATCCCGAGATCTAAAGGGAAACTAAGGCTGGCAATCAAACTATGGACATACACACAAATCTCCTCGGGACGGGCTGAAGTGGCCCTCTCACTGATCCCAGGACACCTCAATTCGTACTCCTCGAGAATGCGATACACTTCTTGGATTCGAGTTAGATCAGCTAGAGAAAGTCTACACGGAGCCGAGGCAAACCACTCCCCAAATTTCCTCTCGACGGCTTGCCTTTTCAACTCCACATCGACTTCAGCTGCCTCGTCAGCACTAGTCTCCCAGGCACCAATCTCTTAGACCTCAGTGTTGCCTTCGCCATCAACCTCGGCTGCATTGGTGTCGATCTCCAGTACCCAAACATCGATCTCGCGCTGAGGACTACCCTCACTCTCATCCCTTGAAGTATACCCAACAAAAAGGGAAGATAAGGAAGATGTAGTAGAAGACATCTTACCAAAGAGAAAAGAAGCTTGGGGTAGCTGAAATACCAAGCAAGGGACGTTAGCCGAACTCCAAGGTGTTGACTCTTTCCAAATGACAAAGTGAAATGG